TTGTCATTGCACAACGCTCTGCAGAGCAGCCGATCCGGCCGCGGCCCGGCAGCGGCCCTCACCGCACTCCTCAGCGGGCATGGAGTAGGCCGCGTCATTGGGTGACGCCCTGGCGGCCGCGTTGCGCCAGGTGGACACCCCCGGGTTGCCGGCCGCGGCCAGCAGCTTGGCGAGCCAGTTGCAGGCCAGGCCGGGGCCGTCGGGGTCCGGCAGGGCGGTGTCGAGTAGCGACAGCAGGCCTGCATACGACGGCAGCCGCGCGGACGCGCCTGGGGCGGAAGCCAAGGCGGCATGGGACGCGGGGCGGGAGGCGCGGGGTGTGGGGCCGTGAGCGGGGCGGCGGTTTGGGGAGGCGGTGGGGGCTGAGACGAGAGGGGGAATTAGCGGCGTGCGCCAGACCGAGGGGCGCTGCGCGCTGTCGGTTCAGCAAGCTGCCACGACTGCCGTGGGCGCGCACCACCGGCGGGACGCACACCACCCACGGAAGGGCAAAGCTGCCGCGGCTCGTCGTCCGCCCTGGGCGCGTTTCCCCATGGTTGACAGGCGTGCCCTCTCAGTGGCAGCCTGGAGCCAACACACCCGAACGCCCCCCGAGCCCCTGCCCCCGTGACTCCTCCAGCCCGCTTACCCCAGCGCGAGAGCCGCTCCGTGTCCAGCCAAACGCGCGGCCCGCCCGCCGGGCCGCCGGCGCCGCCGGGCACGATGCGCAGGTAGGGGTCCGGCCCGATGACATCAGCGGCCAGGTTTGACCAGGGCTCGCCGGCTCGTGCCACATCATAGAGCCGCTGGCCCTGCTGCCAGTGGCTCAGCAGGAGGGCGCCTATGGTATGGGGGGAGTCCGAGGGGGCGAAGCACGGCTGTCACCCGTGATGAAGGCGGCAACAGAAGGCAACATTCAGCGCCAGCAGAAGGTGCTTCTTGCCAGACAGGGAACGACCTACACCGGCCGCATGGACAAGAACAACATGCCAACTTCTGGACCTCACGGCAGCCTTGGATATGCCTGCCTGACTGTGGGATGGCCCCACAGGCACCCAGCTGGACAAGCAGTGCATGTCCAGAGAGGGTGGCACATAGAAAGCTTGGACGTGGTTGTGGCAGCGCACGCACCTGCCCGCGCAATAGGCATGGAGAAGGGGATGACCCCGTCGTCATCGTTGTCGTCTGCGCCCGCCGCGCCCCGCGACTCCAGCGCCAGCGCGTCCAGCAGGAGCAGCTCCGCCAGCCGCCCCCTCAGCAGCTGCAGGGGGCTCTCGTGCGGCGGCCACACGGCGCCGCAGAGGGCCACGAGCCGCCGCAGGTCGCCTGCGCCGGGCGCCCAAACGGCGCCGCCGCTGCCACCATTTTGGACGTGTTGTGGCTGCGGCTCAGGCCGCGGCAGCAGCGTCGCCACTGGGCGCTGCTGCTGCTGCTGCTGCTGCTGCTGCTGCTGCTGGAACTGCAGCTGGTGTGGGTACTGGTGCTGTTGCTGCTGCGGCGGCGGGGCTTGTGCGTTCGTGTGTCCCTCGGCCTGCGGCTGCCCGTGCGCCGCCGCAGCGCCGCCGCTGGCGCTGCGGCCGTCGAGCACCGCCAAGAACCCCGCCTCGTCCCGCAGCCGCACCGCGGTCATGAGCGGGCCATAGCGGTCCACGATGGCCGCCCCCAGCGCCGCCAGGCGCTCCTCTGACATGAAGGCCTCGGCCAGGGCCGGGGTCTGGCTCCACATCATGTCCACCAGCGTCTGGACCGCCTCCAGGGCGGGGACGCCCTCCGGCAGGCCGTCGTCTGGGCCAAACGGCGAGGCAGCTGGCTGCTGCTGCTGCTGCTGCTGCTGCTGCTGCACAAGGTGTTGGTGCTGCTGCTGGTGCTGTTGCAGCTGCTGCTGCAGTGGGTGCTGCTGCTGCTGCTGCTGCTGCTGCGGCGGCGGCGGTGGCGGCTGCTGCAGTGGTACCGACGGGCGGATGAGGGACGGCGCAGTCGGCTGCTGCGACGAGGGCAGCAGCCACGGGTGCGGCGGCGGCGCGAGCACGGGCTGCTGCTCTGGATTAGGCGTGGGGCCCACCGGGGCTGCTGGCCGCGGCCGGGACGCCTGAGCCTGCAGCAGTAAAGTCTGAAGGAGCGGCTGCTGCGAAGGGGCCACGGGCGGCTGGCCGCGCGCAGGCGCCGCCTGCGCCGGCGCCCCCTGCGCCTGCGACGGCGGCGACGTGACCAGCGGCGGCGGGGCGCGGCCCGGCCCCACCAGCGAAGGGGGGAGCGGCTGATGGGGAGGCTGCAGCCCTGGGTGTGGTGACTGCTGAGCCAGCTGTGGTGCTGGACCCACGTCAGGCGGCTGGTCAAGCCCCACTTGCTGCTGCTGCTGCTGCTGCTGCAGCTGCGTGCTGCCCTCTGCCTTGTGTCCAGACGCTTCCGCACTCCGGCGCCCTAGCAAGTCGTGCATGTCGTCCGCCCAGTGGCCGCGAACGCCGCAGGTGCGGCAGAAGCCGAACGGGCACTCCCTTTCACCGTGCGCATTGCGCAGCCGGCGCTCCTCTGTCTCTGTGCCGCCCACCCCGCAGGCGCTGCACGCAGTCGAGTGCTCCCTGTCTGTATGCCCAAAGCGCCCGCAGGCGCCGCACTGGGGCACCTCGCACGAGTGCGTGCGGTGGCCGCGGAACCCGCAGCGCCCGCAGGCAGCGGAGAGGGTGGACACGTGGTGGCTCGCGTTCTGGCGCCAGCGGGAGGGGCGCATGAGGCCGCTCGCCGTCAGGGCCACGTTGTTGGGGTGTGGCCAGTCGCCGCGATTTCCCCGGTCGGCATGGCTGCCGCCACTGGCGGCGGGCGGCGGCGCCACCAGTGCCTCGGGCGCCACGCTGTTGGCCGAGGGCTGGCGCTGCTGCGCCTCCTGACGAGGCTCTTGCGTTGCCAGCACCTTCAAGTGTTGCTGTTGTGATGCTTGCCCTTGTAGCTGCTGCTGCTGCTGCTGCTGCTGCTGCTGCTGCTGTTGCTGCACTGGTTCCGCTTCCTGCGGCTGCGGCTTGGGCGCCGGTAGCGGCCGCGCCGCTAGCGCCGCTGGTGCCCGCTCCACGACCGCCGCTGCGTCCAGCAGCAGGATACGTGCGGTGCGCGCAATGGCGCCGTCGACAATGCTGAAAGCCGGGTCCAGGGTCGGCAGGCTGGAAGGCTTTGGCAGATCAATGCCTGATTGGAGGCGCGATAGGGATTCGCCTACGCCCGCACTGGTGGGAAGGGCAGGGCACCTGAGCAGTTGCCACAGGGGCAGGCGGCGCGCGCGCTCGCCCGCGCTTTCAGAGCGCGCGGGTGTGCAGGCACACAGCCGCATGGCATTTCACAGCCAAAACAAAGGGGGACCATCGCTTGCACTCCAGGCTCGCGGTGCCCGCCCTGCTGCCACCCGGCCCTACGCACCCCCGGCGCAAGGCGGCCCCACCTGCTTGCGCCACCAGCACGCCAAACTGGTGATGCCCTTCGTCTGCATACAGCTTAGCCGTCCCCTCCGCCTTGCCGCGCTGCCGAGCGGCGATGCGCGCCGCCACCACGCGGCAGGCGGCCGCCGAGGGGTTGCGATGGGACGCGGGCCACACGGCCGCGATGGCAGACATGAGCTTGGAGCTCGCAGCTGCGCGGAAGGGTGTCAGGGTGAAGCCTCAGGCACTTTTGGAAGAAGGGGAGCAGAGGGAGTTGCAGGCAATTTGCCGCCTGCAGGCAGGCCAGCAGAGGCACCACCTGGTGATGGGTTGCACAGCACACACCCTGCGCAGCTGCGGGACCGCGCGAGCGCTGTCGGCGTCCGCGGGCATCGCAGGCCGCGCGCACCTTCCACGAGCTTGGCAGGGCTGAGGGCAACAAACATGGCGCCAGCTTTATCGCCGAGCCGGATCTCCAAGATGACGTCAGCACCGATCAGCGACTTGAGGCTGGGGATCGGCCCTGTGCCTGCCGCCCCCGAGGCCGCGCTGCCGCCTGCCTTGCCGGCCACCTGCCGCTGCCGTTGCCACTCCCTGCGGACAACCGAGCCCGCGGCCGGCCCTGTCATCCAAATTTCGAAATCAAGGCTTGTCGGCGCAGCGTCTGCCGCCGCCGCAGCGCGGCACAGCATATCCCTGGCCAGGGCGCACGTCGCGAGCGCCGCGGGGCCGCTGCACGCGGGCCATGCGACCGGGCAGTACGCCAGCAATTGGGCCAGGAGCGCTGCCGCGGCGTCGTTTGCGGGAGCAGGCGGGGCACCATGCGCGCCTCCCAAGATCAGCGGCGGCAGCGCCGAGCGCTGCCCTTGCTGTTGCTGCTGCTGCTGCTGCTGCTGCTGCACTGGCAGTGGTGACACCGGCGCAGGCAACGGTGGCAGCGGCGATGGCGATGGCTGTGGAGTTGCCTGCAATTGCTGCTGCACGACCTGCTGCGGCTGGACCTGCTGTGACTGCTGCAGCTGCTGAGCCCGTGGCTGCGACTGCTGCGGCTGCACACCCTGTTGCGGCTGCGCCCGTGGCTGCTGCACCTTTGGGGCCTCCTGTGGTGCTGGCGGCGGCGCTTGCTGCTCGCTCTGGCCCTGCCCCCCGGGCTTCTCCGATACACGACCTGCGCCCGAGCTGCCGCCAGCACTGCTGCTCGACGCCTCTGCTGCAGCCGCAGTCTTGTGAGTGGTGATCTTACCGACCCCAGCCGCAACCACAGGCTTTGCTGCCACGGCGGCGGCCGCCGGCTTCGCACCTCCCGCGGCCGCCGGGGCATTTGCGCCAGCTGGCTGTGACGCCGGGGGCAGGGGCGGCGCCGCCGCGCGGGCGAGCAGCACCCTCGTGTCTAGGGTGAGGAGGTTTGTGGCGCTGAGCACGATCTTGAAGGCGGCGTGGAGGGCTGGCAGCTCCCTTACCCTGGGGGCCCCCGGGATGGCGTGAAGGATGTCGCCTGAGGGGGCGCGCGCGTGTCCACATGCGGGGAGCGTGAGTGCGTGGGGTGGGGACCGGGTGGGTGGACCGTTGCGGCAGAGCGGCAGTGCAGGCAGGTCGCAAAGCGGCAGTGCTGGCGATCACGCGGCTCGCAATGGCCGGGTCAGTGCTGGCGGGTGCTGGGCGCGGCACCCTTACGGGGCAGCAGCCAGGGCGGGGGCTGGCACAGTGGCCGCGCGGCCCAGGCCCCCGGCCGTTGCCCCGGAGGCGGCGCGGCGGCGCTCACCCGCCTGGGTCGCCGGGATGCAGGGGCCCAGCTTCCTCAATTCCTGGGGGTGGACGTGCTGCGCACACCCAGACAGGCGGCCCTTGTAGCGTGTCACGATCGCCGCGGCGAGGGCGTGGCAGGGGGAGCCAGGGGGCCAGGTGGCGTGGACGGCGCACAGCAGCGCGGCGGTGGCGGCTGCGGGGCGCGCGAGTTGCGGGAACAAGGTCGGGGTCGCGGCCGGCGTACGGAAAGGAATGGGGCCTCACGAGCAGCACCCCAGCCCCAGCGCCCGCGCAGATGCTGGCGGAGCGCCCACAGGCGCGACGCCCCTCCCCCCCACCCCAGCCCCGCGCCCCACCAGGCGCCTGCCAAAGCAGGAGCGCACCGTCCAGGAGGCGCGCCGGCACCAGCTGCACATAGACAGCCGGGCCCTCGTGCACCAACGCCAGCACTGGGTCGCCGGAAACCAGCCCCTTGAGCGTCGTGTACTGCCAACCCCCGGGCCGCGCGCCGCCGCCCGCCGCGCCCTCCTGCTCGCGCCGCCACTCGGCAGCCACCAGCTGCCCGCACTGCGCGGCCGGCACGCGCAGCGCCGCGGCGGGGGTGTCCTCCATACTGAAGGCCGGGCGCGCGGCGGCGGTGGCGGCGGGGCAGTGGCGCTGCAGGATCTCCAGGGCGAGAGCAAGCTTCAGGCGTGAAGGGGCGCCGCCTGCCGGAGGCCATGCAATTTTGGCCAGTAGCTGCAGCTGGAGGAACTGCAGCTGGGCGTCATTTTGGGCCGCATCCCGGGGCGCCGTCGCTGCCGGTGACGGCGCCTGCGGCGCGGCTGCACGTGTAGCTTTCGGGCCGGTGGCAGCTGGCCGTGCTGCGGCGGCGGTGGCGGCGACGGCGCTGGCGGCGGCGGCCCAGCCATCGCCGGCAGCGGCGGCCGCCGTGCTAGCCGGTGCAGCATTTGGCATGCCGCTGCTGCAGCAGGAAGGTGGGCCGATGGCTGCTGGCTGGTCCCTGGGACCTAGGCGCTAGGCGCCACGCTGTGCCTGCCCTGGACGACCGTTGGTGGGGCGGGCAGTCGCGACGCCACTTTGAACTTTGCAAGAAGGGATCTCTCTACACAACCTGGCACATGCTGTTGCTGCTTTGTGCATGCGTTGATCCGCAGTTGCGGGCGCCGGCTAGAGCTGACGCGTGGCAAAGGGTGCGGGGCGGCAGCGAAGCGTGTGCGGCATGCCCCAGGCGCTTTTGCGCACCACAGCGGTGTGCTCCCTGCCACTCACCTGCTGCAGAAGCACTGCGGATCGCTCCATACAGAAACGCGCCTGAAACGAGCGTGAAGATGTCCCAAGCCGGCTTCGACAATCATAAAGATCTGCCGTGTCGCGACGGCGCCTGCACAAACTGGCAAAAGGGCTGAGTACAACTAATCTACCACAAGCTAATGCGACAGCAGCCTCGTGGGGTGCAGTCTTGAGCCGCACATGCAGCTACGCCACCAGCTGGTGTGGTGGCTGAACCGCCTGTGCCAGCCACATGGTGGCCGGAACGTCTCGCCCAGGCAGGAGGGCTCCTCACACGTACAAGTACGTCCGGTTGCTTGTACTTGCTTGCAGGCTGAAGCGTGTCCGTTCGTCGCCTCGAGCAGCGCCCAACCACTCTTTCAACTGCCCAGGTTTGACGGCACGTCATGGGTTGACTCGGCTTTCCATCTGGGGCGGCAGAGCTGTCAGCGCTATGAGGGGCCATACAGCCCAAGGTGGGTCAGTTACAAGCATATTTTTAGGGGCAGGGAGAATATTTGGCCCCAGCTTGCGGCAAAACCAGAGGGCCGCGCAGTCGCCCGGCCCCCGTGGAGGTGGCGCCGGCCATCCCACCCTTGAACCCCGGGGGGGCCTGATGCCCCCAAAGAAGAACGGGGCCGCCTGTCGGCGAAATATACAGCAAATATGCACACACCACCAGACATTCAGAGAGGACGAATAGCCTGTTTGCGCCGACAAAACATGGATCTGCGTGGCGCCCGCTCCTGCTGGTCAGGCCGCAACCCCAGCGTCCGCACCGGCACGCGCACGACCCCTCCCCCCCTCCACACAGCCCCACACATCCAGCCGCCCGCCACGCGCCTTCACGCGTCGCGCCGCGTGAAGACCGCGGGGTCCAGTGCACGCACGATGCGGTCCAATGCGGCCTCCAGGGTGGCCAGGCTGGCGGCGTACGACAGCCGCACGCAGGAGGGCGCGCCAAACGCGTCGCCCGGGAC